GTGAGTGGCGTAGACACTATGGAAGTGATGTGGATTGGAAGCCTGCGGAGCTCATGGAAGATGTTTTGGAAAGACGGAGCTATGACGTTTGCTAAAGCCGAGGTTTGGTGGAGCAATGGAGCTCATAACACGCATGACTTTCGACACAGTACATACAGTGCATGTCTGTAACAATTATTGACGCGCGACGGTTTTAACGGGATGGATTCACATTCTACATGCTAAGGTAACGCGGGTTCCGAGTCTTGCCTTCAGCCCAAGTCTTTAGATGTCATGTGGTGCTCTGATCCACTGTTTCTCAAAAGCTCGCAAGAATCATCGCATAGGGCGACGATGCGCCACAGCCTGCGCCATAAACTACGTAGGAAGAAGCACTGGTAGACATTCACATGCAAGACGGCCCAAGAGGCGCTTCGTGAAGGTTCCCGCCAGCTGTGGGCATCTAGACGCCACTAGCACCGCCCCGCGTACGTCATCGGCCATGCGTGTTGCTAGGCTGCGCCCTCCTTGAACTGGCAGGTTGCTGCATACCCCTCTTGCTACAAATAGTCCCTCTCGCCAACACACCCTGTCCACCGCATCACTCAAAGACTCACAACACCTCTCAACCACTACACCACTACATTCAAAACCCCCTCAAAACATCCAACACACATCAACATGGCTGCCACCGTCAACGTCGAGAACATCTCCACCAAGACCAGCGAGGATGAGATCAAGAGCTTCTTCTCCTTCTGCGGAAAGATCCAGTCGCTCAGCGTAAAGCCCTCAGGCGATGACACCCAGTCTGCCTCGGTCACCTTCGAGAAGGCCGCCGCCGCAAAGACGGCCCTCCTCCTCGACAACACACAGCTCGGCCACAACTCGGTCCAGGTCACGTCCGCTAAGAGCATCGACGAGATTGCCGGCGAGAAGTCTGCCTCCGCAGACGACGCCAAGGACGGCGACCACCACATCGAGCAAGAGCAGAAGCCCCGCGCACGCATCATCGCCGAGTACCTCGCCCACGGCTATGCCATCTCCGACACCGCCATCGAGAAGGCCCTCGCAGCGGACAAGCAGAACGGCTACAGCACCAAGTTCATGAACGTTCTCAACAACTTCGACCAGAAGACCCAGGCTACACAGAAGGCGCAGGTCGTCGACCAGAAGTTGGGCATAACAAACAAGGGCTACGCTGCCTTCAACATGATGACCAGCTACTTCGACAAGGCTGCTTCCACACCCACCGGACAGAAGCTCCGTGCTTTCTACGAGCAGGGTAACAAGACCGTTATGGACGTCCACAACGAGGCTAGGCATTTGGCCGACCTTAAGAAGCAGAAGCCCGCCAGCGAGGGCGGTGTCGCTACTGAGAGCAGTGAGAAGACCGCCGAGGGTAGCAACGAGAAGAGCGGCGAGTCCTACGCCGCCGCTGCTGCCCCTACCTCCTAGATACGAACACCTTAAGTGCTCACGGCGGAGGACTGGAACGGCATTTCTTTCGATTCAACGATTCCCACTTGGTTTACAGTCTGTATGAATACTTGCGCATGATACCGATGACGGCACGAGCACGGAGTTTGGAATAAGATGGTTCAACAACCTACGAAAACACAATTCTATCTAGTAACCATTGATCTTGAAACCTGCATTATCACGTAGTGATGGAGCTCTATTACGACCTTCTGTCGAACAACGATATAAACAAGCATGCAGAAAGCAAAATCATGAAAGCCAATGTTCCTCCTATCCCTCTAATATCCCCACTCTCCACTGTCCAACAGGCTCTGGCTAGCCACAAAGCTGAAACCCCCAAAAGGGTTGCTAGAAGCCTGGCTCTCAAACATCAAGTCGTCAAACTTCTTCGTCAAAACAGGGCTCAGTGGCAGGTCGGTGAAGTCCTGGGCAAAGTTCTCCGCCAACTCCGGGTCCGTGATGAGTGGCTGGATCGGCGGCTCCAATTCCCTCGCTTCCAACTTCTTCCAATTGATCTTGCGGAAGAACCTGTGTTTCTTGATATTCGGCAGATCCTTGGCCATGTTGAAGCCTAGTCGCTTCTTGGGGTCTTTGCGGAGGAGGCGAGTGAGAAGGTCCTTGGCGTCGGCGCTGAGGTAGTAGGGCAGTGCGAGTTTCTGCTTTACGATCCTTTCCTGGATTTTGGCGTTGTTGTTGCCAGTGAAGGGAGGAGCGCCGGTGAGAAGATCGAAGCCAAGTGCACCCAGGGACCACCAGTCCACTGCCGCGCCATACTCGTGGCCCTGAACAACCTCCGGAGCCATGTATTCTACAGTACCGAGGATAGAGCGGCAGGGGCTGTCTTCGTCAAGACTGACTTTGCTGAGGCCGAAGTCGGTAAGGAGCAGGTGGCCCTCGGAGTCTAGGAGGCAGTTCTCGGGCTTGAGGTCGCGGTAGATGACGCCGACTGTGCGGTGAAGGTGGTCAAGCGCAAGTACCATTTCAGCCATGTAGAAGGCGGCTACGTCCTCGGAGAACATGCGCTCAGCAGCGAGGTGGTGGAACAGCTCGCCTCCTTGGGCATACTCCAGAATGAGGTACAGCTTTTCCTGGTCCTGGAAGGCATAATAGAAGTTGACGATGAAGGGATGTCGGTTCACACTCTCGAGCACGTTGCGCTCCGTCTTGGTCTGCTCGATGAGCTTCTTATGCACGGTGATCGACGCCTTCTTGAATTGCTTCTGCGCGAAAAGGCGGCCTGTCGCGCGCTGCCTGACCAGCAAGACGGTGCCATAGCTGCCCTTGCCCAGACACATCAACGGCTCAAAATCCTCGGCCGTCATCTTGCGCGCCATGCCACTGTTCAACATGGTCGAAGTCTTAGAGAGCGTGTCGATGCTAAAGTCTTCTGCGTTGAGGTCGATTTCGTAGCTCTCCATCTCCGTGCGGTCACTGTCACTCTCCCGGCCGGACATGCTGGTGTTACTCGACAACTGCGACGTGACCCTGCTCATAGCGACACCCTTTCCTGGGGAATCCTTCATGGGTGAATCGCTCCTTGGGCCTAGGTTCAGCGCCTCCAGCTGGGCTTTGAGGTTGCTAATACCTCCCGCAGTAGACTGGGGTCTAAGCGCTGGGCTGCTGGTGACGCTGGGAAGTCCAGAGCGCACAGGTCCGAAGCGCGGTGTAGTGGCCAGAGAGTAGTCCGACTCCTCCCCACCAGACGTGACTGGGGTGTGAAAGCCCCGGGTGACGCTAGTAGCTTGTAGTCCTGCTTTCAGACCCTTCTTTTTCTTCTTCTTGTTCTTCTGGGCCTTCTTGAACACGGCATCGAAATCCAATTTGTCAGGTCCCTGCTGCTTGCCTTCGGGGCCGGGCTGCACTGCGCGCTGTGGCATAGGGCTGACGATGTTGATCGGCGGGGTTCCTACGTGGAGGGGCGCTTTGGGCGGGCTCATGTCCATGGGTCCCGAAGCGAACATGTCGTCTTCGGGCATGGCAGGCTCAGGGTTTCGCGGCGCGTTGGCCGGAAGTTGGGCATCGTTCTGGTCGAATGCGAAAACCATGGTAACGGTAGTGAGGGGTAATGCGATAAAGAGTTGTCACTCTCCAAGCTGCGCCCGTATTCTGGTCAAGTCAGCATTTGCGCACGCTTTGGAGAGGAGTCCGCGCACATCCAACGCCGGTCTTGGGCAAACCAATATTACAGTCCGCCGCGAGGATTCACGGCGGAACTCCTACCCCTAGCCGGACCAGCGATGCGAAAGAGGCGTCCGTCTTGTTCAGGCCTGAGCTCAGTGCGGTGTAGGGGAAGAAGGAGCCAACTGCGGTAAGCTGAGCGGTGGGTAGGAAAGCGGTCGCGGCGAAGGAAGCAGAGCCCATAGATGGTTGTAGTGGAATATTGGGAATGGTAATGGTCGGAGCCAGGATTCGGGGCCCGGCAGTAAATCTGTCTAGTGGAAGTGTCGCGGTGTTGGGAGAAGTCGTGTTTGAAGGGGTTTTGGCAGAAAGGAACGCGATCAGCGGGAGAGGCTCAATCGCCAGCTTCTTAATTTGGTGCCTTGGCGGGCTCGCGGTGGCATGTGAATGAGCTTGCGCTTAACTGGTCATCCGCCCCAGATCCACCTCCACACAAACTCGGAGATCCACCCCGTGCTTTCATTTACATCATATTTGCATGTCTTGCTAATGTCATGCGCTTGCGTCGCTGATGCGATCGTGTTGATGTCGTTCGCTGCCACGGGCGCTGGCACTGAAACTGCGATCGCGTCTCACTCGACAAAGACAGCGCGACGCTGATCCAACGCGACTCTCTTCGCGAACGAGTCTACGTGGCAAGGGTATCTATTCGCTGCTGTGAAGTAACTCCGACTATGATTATCGCGAAATGAAGCTACCAGCAGTAGCCCTGAGTGAGAGCTAGCGTGTTCCTCCTTTGTCAAACGTGCCTATAGAACAACAAAGCGCGACGCTTGACGGATAGGGGGCGCCACGAGACGTACACGAACTTGAACTGCTATATCTCGCGCCCATCGCCCTGCTTAGTAGAAAGACTCATTCGCGCCCCTCAGGTGTTGCCTCTTTCTGAAATATGTGACTTCCCCACCCGAAGCTAAGCGAGTGGGACTGCTGTGGGTTTTGTGTTCCGACATCCGTCACAAAGAAAGAGCACAACTACCACTACTACTGCGTCTATTCCAGCCCGTTCTGACCTGGATAGAAAGAGCGCAGAAGAAAACGACTTACATATTCTCCTCAATTTCAAAAATTTCCATCGTCGCCTTCCTAGCTCAGTGGTAGAGCGCGTCACTAGTAACGCTAGACTCGATTCGAGTCGTGCTAGTCCCAATCAGGACGTCACGTGACTGTCGCATCTCACGCCCACGTCGCTGCTCGTTCCAAGTACTAGCTTCGTGACCCTGCCGCCGGCCGGAATATGCGAATCCGCTATCCGAAGCTAAGCGGATGCTGCAGCTGTAATTTCGGCGTTCTTGGTAGCTACTGCATGGCATAGAAGCGCAACGTCAATTATAATTACATTGAGCCGCAAATTTTTCATCAAAGCCTTCCTAGCTCAGTGGTAGAGCGCGTCACTAGTAATGACGAGGTCGTCAGTATGTTGTGTCCGTATACAGATTGCATCAAAGGCACAACAGCTTATCCGAATTAGGTTCAATTCCGGCGGAAGGCACTTAACGTGAACGTTCTTTTTGTTGGATGTTCACGGCGTCCCACTTTTTGCCTTCGTTGTTCTTCGCTCCCTGGGCTCCTGAACGCGTTTGGAGACCCTTTCAACTTCGGCAGCCTGCAGCGAGATCTATCGTACCTTTTTACAGCTCTTGACGTCCCAGTCTCTAATTCCTAGCGATGATAAGTCTACCTTCAGTTTCTACCTCTTTCTCCTCCTTAACTACTACTAGCATCCGTTTTCGCGCTTTCGGCTTGTCCGTCTTCTCGCCTTTGTTGTTCTTAATACCTACCTCGCGGTTAGGACTCTTGATAGATAGAGGCTTGCTCTTAACAAGAGTAACGTTCTTTCTTGCCTCGACCAACACGTTTATCGCTGTCGTTAACCTTTCCCCTCGTCTGATTGCTTAGGCTGCCAGAATGTCTTTACTGGTAGTAAGCGGCATTTCTCTCGCTACCTCTAGCTTCCTGGAGAAGGTTCTAAGTTCTGTCCTCTCCGTCTGGTTGAAGTCTACCGGATATATCATCGAATCTAACAGCAGCGAAGAGAACAACAAACTCTACTTGCTTAGGGCGTAGTTTACTTTGTTCTACATGATGTCTACCTTGTCTATAACTGCAGCCTCTTCTGGACGCATGCTGTTGTTTACCGACTCTATTCCTGGCACGAATAACGTATCTTCTGTGTCTTCTCGGTCCACGACGGCAGTAGAGTGTATGCTAGTAAGGAATAAGCCGAAGCAGGCTAGGGTAGTAGCTAGGCGTTTGCGAATTGCAGTAGCTAAATAACTGAAGTGATTGAGGTAGCTGCATGTTGGGATGACTGAATCTTGAACTAAGATGAGAGTGGAGATGGGGTCGATTAGCGACTAAAGTCTGCTTGACAAATCTTTGTTGTGCTGCTTCTGCACCGCGACGGCACCTAGCTGAGACTCTAGAGTGTTGAGGCAGGCTAGTATGGGTCCCGACAGCTGCACCGCGTCTGTTATAAACAGCCCGGAGAGCATACTTGGCATGGTGTCTTGGAGGTCGTTACTGTCTGCTTGCTGTTCTCTCCGCTGTCTTTCGTTTGCGTTGCGCGCTTTACACGCTTTGGTGCCGCTGGCTGTGATGCCGCTGGTTGTGGTGCCGCTGGTTGTGGTGCCGCTGCTGGGCGCTTTACTGAGGGTGTTGTGGGTGTCTTTGTTCCAAGCGATTTGGCGGACTATAATAAAGGTTAGTTAGCGGATAAGAAGTAGATGCAGCGGTGCAATGTCGCACTGTTCCAAGGTCTTCGCGATACTAGCTCTCTACCTTGTTAAAAACTGTACCTACGCCACTAAGCCTTCTAGCAGCTTAACGCAGACTTTAGCGTTAGTATAATATTCTCTACGCGCTATACCTCTAAGACTTCTACCTTGCATATTCTATTTACTCTCTACAAACTAACAAGACGTTAGTTGCGAACGTAATCAGGATACCGCTCGTAAAGCTAAGTAGCTTGCTGATGAATATACATTTGCGAAACCTGGAACTTATCTGTTGGTAAATAGCAACGACAAAGTCAGCACGCTGCAGAAGTCGCACAAACGTAAGGATACACACCCTCCCAAAGCAAACTCACTCGGTATCCTGTTCCCGAAACGCACGTTTTAAGAGTTGCCGATAACATAGATGTTGACCCCAGCATGTTCGCCAACAACGGCTGATTCTACGATGATAAAGTGGTTGCCATCATGCCTACATGCTTACGCGACCACTTCATATCAATGCAAGATATTACGTCGCTAGATAACTTGTCTGGATATTGTGCGTATCTAGCAGTCAAGTTGGCACAGGCGGCTCTCATCCAGATGTGGTATCGAAAGATTCTCCAGCCGTCTGAGTCTTGCAGGTCGTTGTGATGGAGAAGGTATGAAGGAGGAGCCAGCTAAGGAGGTTCTATATAATTACACTCTGCGGCAATTGTTGTTTAATCAAGTATTGCAGATTTGGCTCAACGCGCAATCTTTTGTGTTTGTTCAGTGTATGTAAGGCGCCGGCTCCGGTGCTGGACATCGAGGAGCTGGTGAAGCGTCTACAGAGGATAATACAGGTGGCGGACACCTACAGTGATAGTGTGCGACGGTTGAGGTGCTTCATCAGCTCCAGGGCTGGCAGCCTCTTCTTGGGGCGGCCGCGAGCCTCTTGCCTAGCTTTGGTCTCGCGCTTGCGGTTGGTGCAAACTTCTGGGATGTCACTTCGGTGTCGTTGCCATCGTCAGCATTGGCCCCGCGCTTGCGCGATGTTGTGATCTTCTTGGGGTGTTAGGGTGTTAGATTGGGGGGGGAGGGGGGGGGAAGCGGGCAAAAAGACGGCGTGGCGGCGTGATGTGGAAGATGAGACAGTCAGGGATTGAACTGGATACCTGGTTAGCTAACACAACATTGGCGAAAAGAATGGCAAAAAAATAGGATGCGCGTACATGCCTTAGCTATGTTTATCGTTATTAGCACCCGTTGCCTTAGTAGTCAATCGATATTATATGGTTATTACCGGCCACTGCACTATGCTATCCCTTGATGGAAAACAGCCTAGAATATGTGGATTATATAGCTAAGGTTGTGTTCTACATAATCTTGTGCTGTTGTAGTGGAGTTATCGCGCCGCTTAGGAAGTCGCGCAGCCTAGGAAGTCGCAACTTAGGAAGTTGCAACTTAGGAAGTTGCGCAGCTTGAATAGTCGCGCAGCTTAAATAGTCGCGGAGATTAAATAGTTGCGTAGCTTTTGTAGTTAATGCTTGATAGTAGCTTAGATATAGCGATTTAGTATAGCGGTTTAGATGTTAAGATTTAAACATAGCGGTTTGGGTATAGCGATCTAGGTACGAAATGTAAGGCAAATACAGGTATTTGTATAGTGCAAGACTAGAATTGTAGACGTAATAGCCTTAAAACCTGCTAGATTGTATATACTACGAGAATAGTAACCTTGTTAATAGCTCTTTAGACCTCGCGATTTGTATATTCTTAAAGAATAGAAATATAGACTTAGTAAGATCTTGCCTAAAGAGGCGTAGTTTGTAGGTAGTAGTAATACAATACTAAATACGTATATTAGAAGTAGAAAAGCAAATTGTATTGTATATGTATAGCGGTTATTCTAATACCTTATAGCTCTAGATTATAAAGTTAAAATCTAAAGGCTTATTTGTTAAAACCTGTCTTTCTTATTAAGCTAGCGGAATGTATGTTTAGAAAAAGAAACTTCTTGTAGTATGTCTTAATTGTACACACGTTGAGATATACTAAAGTTTCTTAATACTCTTATTATTATACTTATAAGTATAACGTAGTAGCAAGACTATAGAATAGAAAAAGAACCTGTGTTTTGCAAGCTAATACTTTAAGGCTAAGAAGCCTTTGCAATTTAGTAGACGCGCGAACATTACATAAGGCCTAGCAGAGACGTAGTGTTCTAGTATAGCTAATAACACATTTTTAATTTCTAAAACAGATTAGAACAGATTAGAAGCACTTTATTTAGTGTTAGTCGCATTTCTAAGTAATAGTAAAACTTTAACTAGTTGTAGAGAATAAAGGCAGTAACCTTAAGAGCAAAAATATAGCGCGCAAAAGCTCTGCTTATATACACTTACTATAGAGTAACGCGTAAGATCTTTATCTTTGTAGACAGAAATATTATGTATATTATTAAGTCCTCTATAACTACGTCGTGTTATTATGTATATACAGTAGTAGGTTTAGAGTAAGAAGATATTATAGAACGCGTTAAGTTCTTCTCTACAAAAGCACGTGCACTTTAGCTTACGCAGCTTCTTTATTAAATAATGTTATACACTCTACTTTATACACTACTATATATCTCTACTAGTACTACGCTGCAGTAAAGATGCCTACAAAGAGATTACTTAAAGATATAATAAATAGTAATAGCAACTTCTCTCTTATTAAGCGCGCAAGAGACTCTACTATAGAAGTAAGCTCTACTTTCTAGTCTACAGCGCTAGCGCTAGCGTTAGCTTACTTAGATTAGTAGTAAGGTATGTCTTAATTTATAATAAGCGCGTAAGCTAAGTATAGATAACTAACACCTATAGTACTACACTAACGTTAAGCCTCTATCTTAGTAGACTTTAGTCTATTATCTTTATATCTATAAGTACTAACTTTATACTAGCTACCTTGTAAAGAAAGTATAGTATCTAAAGAAAGTACTATAGCAGTAATAACTTCTAGTATAGCAATCTATAGCTATATATAGATATAAGTAACTAATATAGCTTACGCATTCTAAGCGCAGGCTTACTAGTTATAAGAGTAGAAACTATCTATACCTACGCCTATTAGACCTCTACTATACATTTCTACTTTATACTAGTAGCTAGTCTTAGATAAGAGCAGTCTAAGCTCTAAGTAGATAGAGTCTCGCGCGCAACTAGCGGCTCTTACTACCTAGGTAGCTATACAAAATACTAAAGGTTTTAGGCCTAAGTTTAAGTTAGACGTAGAAGATAGTATATATGTAATAGACTAGTCTACTATAGTAGAAGAGAATAGTAATAAAGAAGATAGATATAAAGAGTTAGATAGAGGTAATAGCAAGAAGGTAGAAAGTAAGGTAGAAAATAAGGCAGAGCTGTATAATACTACAGCTACTATTAGCACTTAAGGTGTAATACTACTCTTATTATTATCTATTAAGTTTATAGCCGCACGTTAGATAGTTTAACTACTACTGCGCCTAATACAGACCTTAATTTATTGCTATACCTTTCTGCTAGATAACTTTAACTTAGAGTTAGATATAGAACTAGGTAGCGTGTATTAATAGCTTTACGTAGACTCTTTATACTAGTAGTTTAACTAGGCTAAAAGCTAAGAGCCTAGAGCGTGTATATAGCATTATTGTGTTTGTACATTTAACGTGTTAATGTTAGTTATCTACTATATTTATTCTACTCTACGCACCTCTATGCTCTAGTAGCGCTAACTAAACCTATTGTACGTCTACGTACTATTATTT